AAACAGTACACTAGTACTGACCATGCCGTGCCGGTAGAGTTCCGGTAGGCCGATGCCTCAACTGAGGCGGRTACCRGTACTTATACCGGTAGGCAATGGTCTGGCCTCAATGCTGCKAGGCCAGGCCARACCCTGRACCGTCCAGATGGACGGTTCAGCCTCAATCGGCGGGCGGCAGCTTCAAGAGCGCCGCCAGGCCCAAACGAAGTGTCGTTTGGGCCTACCCGATGGGTGACAGTCCAAGATCAGGCCTTTAGGGCCTGTAACCCCAAAGGTCGGGCCTTTAGGCCCTGGTGTGTCCCTCCGGCCCTAAGTCGGGCCCGGTAGGACCCGTGTGAGTCGAAGATGTAACACATGTGATCTGTAATACAATGTCTTGTAACCACAGGACGAAGGAGGAGAGGGGGAGGATAGACTTAAAAGGGTGGAAGAGAAAGTATCCATCAATGTCCACATAAATAAAAAGCCCTCGGTCCCCACTTCTTCGTCGGGCATATCCTCTCCTCCACGTCAGCAAACAGTGTCCCAGAAACGAGGCTGACGAGATGTGATCACAACGTAGTGCCCCATCGGCACAGCTCTCCCATCAAGACGTCTCTGCAGCACTCGATGCCGACAGCATCAACAGGTAACTCCCCTCTCTCTCACTCAATCAATCCCACAGATCCAGATCTCCCTCCTTGTCGCATTTCAATCTGCAATGAAGACAGCATGACAAGTGCAACGTCAGTATACAAGAAGACAGCTGGCGCCAGAAGCAGAGAGGCGCCAGCATGCAAAGCAGCAGTCTCGTGTCGTCGTCGCACAATGCCAGCGAAGAGCCAGCGTCTTGCCAGCGACCAGCCAGCGACCAGCCAGCGTCAAGCCAGCGTCAAGTCAGCAAGGCAAGACTGAATGTTGACTCCCAGGGCTGGGTCAGTAAGTAGTGTTGACGACGTTGACCAGCCTCTGGTCTCTCCCCCTCGGAGGCTCAGATTGACTCACAGCCGACGGCTTGGATCTGGTACAGTTGCAGACTTCCACTCGGGCTGAATGCTGTCTGGATACCTGCGCACATCCAAGTGTGTGTGTCTGATCAGTGGCCTAGACTGGGTCCGTGAAGACTTTGACTCGTGGGCCTCAATATTCCGACAGGCAGTTGACTTTGGTCAACTGTCCGGCGCAGGGCCTCTGAAGCCACATTTCAAGGGTTATGTGCCCCACGGTTGGACGCAGGACCTGAGGGCCGTCTTGTGGCCTGCGGGTGGCCCCCTTGGCTGACGACATAGGCATATATGAGTGCATTCCTGCCGGCCCAATTTTCGAGTTCCATCACAACAATTGTTTAAAATTAGTTCTCTCTAAATCCACGCTCGTATGCATAGTATCAGGAGCAGTTGGTAAAAGCTCTTTCTTGCTAAACCGCTGTTAGAGTCAATCTAGGGTTTTCCTACCACCGAAATTGCAAACGGGGTAGCTTCAGATAGGGGTTGAGACTTCAACTTAACTTTAAACTGCTTATGTGGTCTTTCTATGCCACCTGTAGAAAAATATCCATGCTCAAGTATTTTCTCAACTTTATAACCTCCGTCCATTGAAGGAGGAAATATCAGTGAGAAGTTCCTTTTGAACTTCCTATAGTAGGTGTTTCTCGTGATCCTCCAGTGTCTTACTATACATGAGGACATTGTCGAGATATACAACTACTAACTGATCCAACCATTGACGAAACAGTTCATTCATAGATTTTTGGAAAGTAGTGGGCGGGTGCAATAGCCAATCCGAAGGGCATAACCATGAACTCGTAGTGACCATACCTGGTTTGGAGAGTTATCTTATGTTGATCTTCAAGTGCCACCTCGATCTGGTGGTAACCTGACTTCATATCAATCTTACTGAAGTACTGGCATCCCTCCAACTGATGCAACAAGTCGTCAATGCGAGGAAGAGGTTCCACGTTCTTAATAGTAACATAATTCAATCCACGATAATCGATACAAAGTCTAGGTTCTCCTTCCTTTTTGGGCACGAACAAAACAGGAACATCATAAGGAGAGGAACTTAGTAGAATCCATCCTTTCTCTGTAAGTTCTTGCAGTTTTTTCTTCAATTCCTCTAGTTCCCTCGGAGACATCCGATAGATGGGTCCTTTGGGAATCTTACTTCCGAGAATGATCTCGATGGTGTGCTTCATAGCACGTTCAAGTATCCCCGTAGGTTCAGTCTGCAAGTCCATAAATTCGGTTAGAAGTTTTTCAATAGGAGGAGGATATTACGAAGAACACTCCCTGACTCGTTTTAGGAGTAGAATGATTACGTCCTGTGCCAACTTCTTTTTCGTGACCATACTTCAAAAAGCAGGAAGACTCATACAACACAAAGACAATGATGAGTCAAGACCAGACTTATGAAACAGTTTGATAGGTTTCAACTTCGAATTTTCATCCTTGAGGTTGACAATCTTTTCCTTAAACTTGATTTCTGGGTCGGCTTCCTCGTGCCAATCCCTTCCCATAATCAAATCAAGGGGTAAGTTCTTCTCTACAAGGAAGGTTACTTCATGCAATATTCGTTTTCCCTCCTTCGTTCGAAAACAACACTTAAATTGCCGTATTAAGAAACAGTAGTGGTGCTTTTATTTGCAAGCATAGACATGATAGGTCGCGGAAGATCCTGCACACACATTCCAAGATGCAACTTCTTAATTCCCCTTTCTGAAATATAGGACCGTGTCGACCCTGGATCTAACAAGCACCCACTCGTGTACGTGCAATGTCAATGTCGGCAATCATTAGCTCACCCTTAGACTTCGCTTTCTTAGCCCACGAACTTTTGAAAGCAATCAGTTCATTCCCAATTTCGTCACGGGTACCGCCCAGAGAGAGAGAACATAAAACAACGTCAAGGTGTTCTGAGCGATGGGCCGAAGAAGAGCCATCCTCTGCCGTATGAGTCGGGGGGTTGAAAGCGGTTATTGGCGCCTTACCTTCAACTGAACCCTTCAACTCAGTAGGAGCAGATGCTACTCCTACTGGCTGCTCCCTTTTGGGTTACGAATGAGAGGGCACACTGCAATAATGTGCCCTGCAGTGCCACACTTGAGGCACTGCCTATTATTCATTCGTTCTTGCCATTCTTCTCTTGTCAGATTCATTTCCTCCTAAGGCCTTCCGACTACAATGTCGGGATGCTCCGGGAAGGAGTGTGGTCTCTTCTTCTTTTCGTATCTGCCTGGGTTGGTGCCACCCTTGTTGCCCACCATGGCAATGATGTCACCCTTCCCAGACTCGCTGGCACCGTTTCCTACGCCTTCGGCCTCATCGAGGGGCAACTTCGCAATAGCGTTGTCGTCAAGAAAAGATGAGGGTGTGGTCCCACCGCTTTTGCCGTCACAGGACTCGCTTACGGTTTCCATACCCACTGGACGGACCACTTCGTAAAACGGACGCATAAGTGCCCTTCACCTGTGTGGTCGTCTGCTCCCTCTGGAGCGCGCGGTCGCGAAACTGTCTATAGTTATACTTACCAACGTTGCTTCGGTCGCAAGCTGTCCACGTAAGGGCTCAAGCAGAGCAGAGCACGTGAGAAGATGTAGAGTACCTGGTTGTCTTGGAGATTCAGTCCAGGTACCTGCAACAATCGATCCACCTCACGTGACAAAGCATTGACAGTGGACCATCGCTTTTGGCTAAAAGTAGTGAGCTCGTCAAACGCCTTGCCGACCGTTATTTTGTCGAGGAATCTCTCCTTGATTTTCTGAAGAAATTATTGCAAGGTCATGGTCTTAGCCCACTCCCCAATATCCTCAAAACCCCCAGCGTTAGCCTCAAACAAAACCCACTCCTTAGCGACTTCACCAAGACAAGAGGTCGAAAACGCAACTTGGCTTTCGGCCTCCACAGCAGTGGTGCTGCAATAAGTATGTATTTCTGCTATCCATAATAGCAGGTATTCCCCTTGCTTACCGTTATACATGAAAGGAAGTTTCATTTTCACTTTTGCTTTCTTCTTGGGGCGTTCCCCTTCATCCTTCTCTGCGACTTCCTTCTTGGCGGGTTCTTCTTTCTTCGTCGGTTCTTCGGGTTCTTCGACGTCCTCTTGGCACCTTTAATTGCATCTTGCATTAGCTACTCCCAGGGTTTCTTTTCT